GCTGCTAACTACTTGCATTTTCACATTTATTGTATAATACTTTTTTATGTAATTACTGGTTTTCATAATGACTAATTGAAAAATATCAGTTAGTTAATAAAAAATACCAAGCCCCAGGAAACATATTTCAACTTCATTCAATTTCTCTAACGCATTAAAGTGGAAATGAATGGCAGACATATATTTAAAAGTCGTCTGAGACCCACTCCTTAGGGCGCCTACCATAACAGCAGACACTTTTTCTTAATGATGGAAATGTAAACAGCAGCAAAACAGAGATACAACAGATTATTTTGAAGCACATTTTTCACACAGAGCGTGGGCTGGTATTCGAGAATACCCCCCTTCGAACGTATAATGTCAAGGATACTTAATACACGTCACAATTCAAAGAGGAATTTCAGAGACAGTCTCATCTCAATTCTAAGCTTGCTCAGTAAACGTTTAAATCAGTGATAAAGTAGTGATAAGTTGTTGCTTATTTGGAAACTTGTTTTTACCATTTGATGGTGATTGTGAGAAATACGATGTCAGTTATTGAAATACGATTGCAAAACAAAAGGTTTTTTGAGTGTAAGTGAGGTAAATTAGAACAGTCAGTAGTTTTTTTTTTTTTTTTTCAAGTTGGTGCGATAATATCTTATCGTATTTACCGGTGAAAGTTTTTAAGGATAACCTTGGAAGGTTAAGTTTTTGCGAGTTGAAAAAACTCTTAAAAAACAACTTTCGAAAAAATGAGTTTGCCCAGTTTGTGCAACTACACTATTAAAACTTTTAGAGCTTAGTGAACTGTAATATCGTTTATATAATATAATAATTTGCTTCAACTTTAATTTGATTCTCAATTGGATCACATTATAATGCTTTTTTAAAATTGATTACTTGATATTATGGTTCAATTTGAACGAATATATGATTTAATTTAAGATTTTAATAAGATCGTAACAAATTAGCAACGTATTTTGGTTCCAGGTACCGATATTATGGTTCAATTTGAATAAAGACATGTTTCAATTTAGCATTTTATTAAGATTATAGCAAATTAGGACCCTATTATGATTCGAGGTACCGATATTATGATTCAACTTGAAAGAAGTGATGATTCAATTTAAAATCTTTATTAAGAATGCTGAAAATTAACAGCACATTATGGTTTAACGTACCGATATAATGATTCAATTAAATATTTTATTAGCAAATAAACACCGTAATATGGTTCAACTTGAACAAAGACAAGGTTCAATTTAAAATTTTTATTAAGATTTCTGTAAATTAGCATCACATTATGGTTCAAGGTACTAACATAAGTGTTCAAATTGAACAAAGACAAGGTTCAATTTAACATCTTATTAAGATTGCACCAATTAACGCCGAATTACATTCAATGTTCAACGTTAAGCCGGCTTTTTTGATGCCAGAAATAAGAAACCCTTTACACTGCGAAAAAATTCTAAGTGAACTAATATTTGCTCGTATTTACAGTTTACTAAGTGTTTGAGCATTCATTATTCAAGTTTAAATTTAGTGAGACGTTAAGAACCACTTCTGCTAAAAACTTTTATTTATTTTTATGGTAGCTAAGAGTTGTTTAAAATACAATATAAATTGTTTTTTAAAAGAGCATGTCAGTGTTCACAAATGTAACTTTAAACTCCAATATTTAAAATCCAACTTCAAAACTGTTTATTATATTATAACCGTCGGTGAACAGCCGATCTAATTTTGGGTTTACGACTACAAATGTTCAATTCCGTAGCCTTATAATTTTGAACTCAATCTTGAAGACGAGGGAACTCCTGGATCAAGCAATGTAACAAACTAACCTTCGTGGAGGACTTTTTGATGAAACTAACCAGCATTTTCGTTACATAGAGAGGAAAACCACGAAAAACTCCCACGGTTAGGCTGACGGCAAAGGGACTCTAACCCAAGATCAGTCTACCACTGAGAATATTTTACGTCAGCACTGTGGTCGGTGCAAGCCGGATGCGGAATTCGTATCGACCAGCCATCGCTGTGATTCATACCTGGTCACACCATTAAAGGCGAGTGCTTTATCCTCTGAGCCACCACGACCCTCTGTAAAGTATTTTTTTATAACCCTCGTTGAACAGCCGACCCAATTTAGGGTTTACGACTACTAATGTTCAACTCCGTAGCCTTGTAGTTGCGAACCCAATCCAGAAGACAAGGGAACTCCTGGATCAAGTATTGGGAGAAATTCACCTTCTTGTAGGGCTCTTTGATGGAACTAATCCGCATTTGTGTTACATGGAGAAAAAAACCACGAAAACCTCCCACGGTTAGCCTGACGGCTAGGGGACTCAAATCAATGATCCGTCTACCACTGAGGATATTTTAAGTCAGTACTGTGGTCGGTGCAAGCTGGAGGCGAGATTTGTATGGATCAGCCATTTCTGGGATTCGAACTCGGTTCACTTCATTGGGAGGCGACTGCTATTCCAGGGGATTATTAAATTTTGGCATAGTTGTTTCTAATGTACTCGATGTCTGGGACCAATTATAAATTAGCGAGCTATCATCACTTATGCTAATTTAAAAAGACTACTAAATTTGTACTGTAAAAGTGAATCGAAATAGTTTGTAGTAAAGTTTTGCGACAAATGATAAATGCTACAAAATCATTGCATGCCACTAATACAATGGTTTTAAGGCACAAATGCAATGAGTGTCCCCAATAGTGTCCTGATCGCAAGAGGGTAAAAATAACACTTATTAACATTTTACTGCCAAATTTGTTGAAATAAACGACCAGCTCTTTAAGTCCATTACACTACATAATTGTAAAGTATAAACATTGTATTGTTAAATCAATAATTTATTTTCATTCAATTTATGTGTATTACTTGCCTTTCTTACTTATTTTTAGAAGGAGTTACTATTTACGTTTTTAAAAAAAAAAACATAATAGCAGAATACACATTTTACCGGCATTTCAAATCATATCACTTCAAGTCGATGTATTAGTAATATATATTTCAAAAAAATACACACAACTCTTCGATACCATATTAGGAATCAATTAACATTCTTAAATGAAAAAGTATCACTCTTTTGATGATGTAGTAGCTTTCAGACATTAAATTTCTGGATCACCATATATCACGGAGAACAGGCGCTGATTCTTCGTAGGTTTTCCCCCATGGAGCGAATACGCTATCTATTCTCACATGCGAAAAGCATTATGGTCTGCTTCGTCGTGGGATGCTTAAGTTTTTGTACGCAGGAGTTCTGGTGTATCTACGTAGGTGACCAAAAGGATTGGTGAACGAAACCTACGCGGGTTGATTGCCCTTTGCCCGTTGTGTGGTGTCCATTTGCACGTTCGTCAACCCTTTCGTGGAAAAAGTTTGTTGTGGTTAGTTGTTAATTACATTGTAAATGGAAAAAAGTTAATGTTAAAGTATGCGGACGGCATTTTAAAAGTTGTAATGATAGAAATTCTGTAATTGTTTTTTAAAATAAAAGTAGGCGTAATTAGTTTGGCAGCGCATGAGGTGAAAAAAAAATTCTGGTAAAACTACTGTACTGTATGGTAATGACATTTCTAGTAATAAAAAAAACAACATAATTCTGGTATAAAAGACCAAAATATACTGTATTTAAGCTATTTATCTGGTAATTTTTTTGGATGGATTTACCAGAAATTTTGGTTTTCAAAATTATAGCTCTCATTACCATACATTTTGTAAAAAATACAGAACTGAAAAGTAAATTTAACCAAATAAATGGTTTTTATGCCATGCTCTAAGATATCTTGATAAAGTCACCAAATTTCATTCTTATATTATACAGCCATATTTCATTGCTAATTTTACTAAATCATTACCGAAGTAGATTCGGTGATAATTACCAAGCTTTTTGATGTTCCCATACAGCCAGAAACACGGTAAATGTTACCATATTCTGGTAGTTATGACCATACTTTTTTTCTTAGCTGACAGTTTCTAACTTAATGCCATGCACAGAATTTTTTGATGTAGCACTACATAAGATAATTGTACTTTTGCTAAAATATTTTATTTCATTTAAAAGAAATGAAGTTAAATTTTATAACTAAAAAAAGGCACTTATTAAAAATATTTTGCAAAATGTGAGTATCATAATGTGTAACATTTTATAAATACATTTGACTTTAGAATCAGAACCTAACGTTCAATCAATATAAAAAATATCTATTCTAGAAATTGAACATACATTTGAATGATATTTAAAATATTAAGAGTAGATTTTAAAAAATTATTGTGTACCTTCTTGAAAAAAATTTTTAAAGTTTTTTTAACACAAATGTATTAATATATTATGTTTGATTAAAAATTTAAATTCTCTCTTTTTGTACATTGTAAAAAAATGGTGTTCTGAATTATAAATTCTGAATTTGGCATTTTTTTTAAACGTCTGCATTCCAGAAAGTTTTCTGCTTTTCTAATTCTTACTTCATTTACAAAAGAAGATATCTGTTGAAACAAGTTGTAAAAATTTTGAATTTTTCGCACAAATTAAAGCAATTTAATGTCTAGAATGCCCTTCTAAATGTCTTGTGATATTTGAAGTCATTAAAAAAATATCAGATGAAATAGCTTATATTTCGAAACTTTCTATTTGAAATACTACCGAAACATTTAACCACCAAAACGAAAGTTTGGCCCCAATAGTTCTTCTCAAAAAAATCTTTGGATAATAGTTTAATCTTTCAAATAGTTATTTGAAATACCACTATCTTAGGTATTGTATAGGATTTTTTTTCGGAAGAAGTTTTTATATGGGACTTTTTTTCGGAAGAAGTTCTTATATGGGATTTTCTTTCGGAAAAAGTTCTTATATGGGATTTTTTTTCGGAAGAAGTTCTTATATGGGATTATTTTTCGGAGGATAACGCATTTACTCGCATTTCCGCATCAACTGTTTGTCGCGGGTGGTGCAAAGAAAGTAATTTAATAAAACGTTGCAAATTTATGTAATATAATTCTTCAACTTACATGACCAATGTGACGTTTGGCCTCTTCAGTTTTTGGATCTCTCATAGGATTCTCAAAGCCATTCAGACCAATTCTAGAACAAATAAAAAAAGAAATGTTAATTGAGCAAAATTTAATATACATTAGACATTGATTGCTTAATTCACAGCCTGAGCAATGAAATGGAAACACTGTTCTGTTGATTAACACTGTTGAAAAATTTGCAAAAAGTTGCAAAATTTTAGAACTTTTTAATTAACTTTTGTAATATCTTAAAAGGTAAGTTTAAAGCTTTCCGAAATGGTGCTGTTTTTATTTATACAAAATTTGCATATACAAAAACCAGTGGTGTGTAGCTAGATTCTCTTCTGAATCCGGTTTTTTAAGAGACCGTTTTGAATCTACTTTTCTCAATGAAGAATTTCAATAGCACACCTAATAATGGATGTTGATTGACATAATTAGGCAAGTATAACCTCTGTTGCGATAGATAATATATTAGCTTTAAAAATGTTAAGAAATTTACAGTAATGGATATTTTCAAAACATCTTTTATTTTAAAATTAACCGAGCTTTAAATTTCCTCAGTTAATTTTGATTGAAAACATTTCTGAACGAATAAAAATGACACCCTATCTGAAGCTCTTGAAACTTTCAAAATGTGATAAAAAAAATGTTCCAAAAGCTCTCCATTCAAAATTTCAAATTCGTTGCGAAAAAGTTATGTTTATTGAAAGATAGTGCGTGTTTTTAAGCCTGACTCCCCTATTTGAATTATTGTTAGCAATCACCAATTAGTATATCCCAAAACCGTGAAGATTTACGGAAAAATCCAATCATTAGGTCGAAAGTAATTCAGAAATTAACATTTTCTATTTTATTTTGCGCTCTGTTAATGGATTACTTTCATTCCAGTAGTAAATTGATTTTAAATGTTTCCCTGTTCTTTTGTTCTTGTGAAAACGGGCTTAAAATTAGTATTATCTATTCAATATGAGAATTAACTTCGTAATTGTAATAAAATATTTACATACGAAATAGCTAGCAGATACATTTTAAAATCGGATATTAGAGCACGTTGTTTTTTCCCACTGTTCTGAAATATCAGTAATTTTTTGCCGGTTTATTAAATATTGAAAATGTAAAATTTTAGGAAAGTTAAAAATATTTGTTTAAATATAGGTAAGACTCATACATAGATAGCATAACTTTGAGTAATATTATTAATACATAGATTTTTCTAAAAGCCTTTTGTTTTCAAAAACTATTGCATCAAAATCCACCAGGACTTATTTACTCAGAAATAATATACTCCAGATTTTTTTCATTGCAATAGTTGTCAATATTTAATTAGATACCATTTTAAACCGAAAGTTCTAAGAAGTAAATTGAAAACGAAGCAAATTTCGAGAACTTTTTAAGTTTTATTTGTGCATATTTTGAACTTTGCTAGGGGAATTTACTTAAATAGAAAAAGTTTATGAACACACATGCAAATTAGAATGAAATTATTGCAGTTCATTGATACTTTAGAAACGCTAACTGAGATATCCGGGGTCAAATTGAATGATCCATAATGAGCTAAACTTTGGTACCATCTTCTCATTATAAGACGATTTTTTACAGGATTGTTAACAAATGGGAGCCAACTTTGACTTCTGTATCTCATATTTCTTTTGTGGGACGTGTCTGATTTTCACAGACATTGTAAAGCAGCAGATTTCGCATGAATCATCTAATGATTATTCCACTCCCGAACTATTGATTTATTTTCGCCCACAAGGACTAAAAGACGCATGAATGCAAATCAAGAAGAATTCGATTTTTACTTCAAACCTAAATCCCTTTTTTACCCTTTGCTCTTTCTCATCGTTAAACTACCACTCCCTACATAGGATAGTCATTGGAGAAACTTTTAAAGTCCAAGGAATGGGTCTTAATCTTTGCGATTACTTATACATTGTTTTTTTTTGTGACATCAATCAAATTCAATCAAGACTCAATCGGAAGAGAATAAAATTGAAACTTAAAAATGCTTAGGTAGTTAACATGCTGGATATTTAAAGCAGCACGTGATAAAAAAAATCACGTGCTTGCGAAAGTTTATATGTGATTTGAATTATAAATTTTTTTTGTGTGTTCGGCGAGATTGCAGAAAATTATAACTAAGAAATATTTGTGTAGCATTATTTGTAGTGCTCACAGCAACTATTAATTGTACTTTGATTATCAGGGGAGTAACTAGTAATTGCAGTGCAATTTTTAGTTGCTGTGTGTTCCTAGATTTACACGGGTAACTTCAAATTGCAAGAGCCTTCAAATGACACCAGTAGAAAATGGTTGCACAAGATCTGAATTGCATGTAAAAATGTTGCATGCGTGGTCAGATTGCAGAGGAATGTGGCATAGTATTGATGCGATTAGAAGTGACGAGTGTGGTATAGAATAGACGTGAGAGGCTGAAATTAATATTGCACAAGATCAAAATAGGTGGCTGTAAATGTTCGGGCCCCAGTCGAAGGGTTTAAAAGATGTTATGTGTCTAAAGGGAATGCAGACAAAAAGGACATAAAAAGACAAAGGACAAAGGATAGCTGTGTAGAATTATTTTTAGGCCACATAGCAACTAATAATTGTAGTGAACTCACAGAAGTACTTTGAGCAACTAAACTCAGAATCCCACAAGAAGAATCAGATAATTGCAAATATTTGCACTGTGATCTGAATTGCATAAAAAGTGTTGTTACGTGCCCTATGATATTACAGAGAAATGGGGTTAACATATGAGTGGATGAAATTATTTGTAATGGAATTGCTGTGAGCAACTAAATTTTAAATTACGCATGATAAAGATATCAGGTGATTGCAAACGTCTGCGCCTGAGTTATACGTGTCCGGTGAGACTTTAGAATACTGTAGCTAACAAATAATTGCGTCGAATTGTTTGCAGAACTCACGGCAATTAATGATTGCAGCGCAATTAGAGTTATTTGAAATGCTCACAGCAACTAAAAATTGCAGAGCAATTTTAAGTTGCTCATAGAAGACTAAACTTAAAATCGTGTAGGATGAAAATATTAGATGATTGCATTCGACCACCTGCGATATAAATGACATAAAAAGTGTTACACACACGGTGAGATTGCAGATAAATGTGGTTAAAAAATAATTATATCGAATTATTTGCAATGTCTCATGGTAACTATAAATTCTTTCTCACGAAATGACTGCGAGTAACTAAACTTAAAACATTGCAAGAGTCAAATATTAGATGATTGTAAACCTTTGCACCATCTTAATATTGCTATTTATTTTCTTATGTGTCTGGTAAGACTGCAGAGAAACGTTGAACTAAATGTTGAAATCCAAGCAACACGTCTTCATTTGACCAATTGAAAAGACAAAACATCTTACACCATTTGTTCTCTAGACTCTGATAAAAACGTCGAAACTAAAAGGAGAACTCAGTCTTTAATTTTTTTTTGCTTATTTAACTGTACCCATAGTGTACGTTAGTTACACATATTTTTATTCTCTTATCCACTAATGATTTTTATATATCTGTGAACATTATAAAGCAATAAATAAGATATATCAAAATTTCCCAAAACTAGACAATTGTCAATAAAATAAACCAGTTTATCAAGCGATTCAAATGGATATTAATCCCATTTCAAAATGAATTTCTACTACTGTCTCTGTACGAACTAGATCATAGATTTTTCAGAAATTCACAATGGAGAATTCGTTAAATCCAATGATTTCTTATTTAATCTATTGAAAAACACAGCGCAAGAACAATTCAACTCATTCTCTGACGATTTAGCTAATGATCCGCTAAGTGTGTTGTTTTAAATCAAGTTCCGCCTCGTTAACAGGCTGCATCGTTAATCCGACAACCAGTTATTTTACAATTTGTTGAAGTAATTTACCTGATGTTTGATTAATGCTCCAAAGTTGAAGAATGCGTAATAGAACAGACACTTAACCAATTGTTTCTTTTTCACAATCAGATCATTTAATAGATAAGTAAACTTTTCTATGTCGATTGAAGTAAAGGCTTCCGGGGGTGAAATTCGTTTACTTGAAACTGATTCGTAAAATGTTTCGAAAGGAATTTAGATTTCGAATAATGGATTGCAATGTGTGGGTTTCAGTTCTAAACACTGTATTGTAGGGGATATCTCTCTCCTCTCTCTTTGTGTGTGTGTATATATATAAATATATATATGGTACAGAACGTTCTGTTCTCTTAGGGGGGTTCACAACTGTGATTTAAGAAAGCCTGAAGTTTAATTTTTAAACTTTCGTTATTTATAACAGTGGAATCTAGGCCAAAATGAAAGAGCAATAGAGAAAAAAAAATTTGAATTGTAAAACCGAATATAACGTTCTATTCATGGGCGTCATTTATGGGGGGTGGGTGGAGGGCATATGTTCCCTTCAATAACTAGAAATTTCTAAAAGTCCTTCTCAGACTGATTTCAGACAAATGAAGAACATTTTTGTGAATTATTATCGACTCAAATTCGTTAAATTTAAATCCATTAACTTTGCATCCCACATTTTCTAGGATTAAAGTGGTAAAATCCTCTGTCAGATAAAGACTCTTATGGGAGGGCCTTTAACATATTTTAAAAACCTCAACGACTGACCTGAAAATGGACAGTAAAAATGTGCTTCTGAACTGCTATCACAATCATCATATTAAATTTTGAGTTGCACATAGTGAACTGTTGGTAAGAATGGAGCCAAAATCTAAATTTTAAAGTATTAATTTGTCAAAACAACGCCAGATGAGAAAAAAATATCATTTACTTAGTTAAACTGTTCGATAAAAAAATTTTTGATTAAAAATATCACTGGGTAACAAATTTTATGCTGCATTTATACAAATACCTAATCTTACCTATTTCGGGTTTTGGGATTTTAAATCAGAAATTACTTTTGTTCTGAAAAGAACAGATTTTTTTTTCAAAATGGTATTTTTAATTTACTTTTAGTCTGAGTATACAAGTGTATAAAGAACTTAGATTAACATATGCATTCACTTGTCTACTTCTTTGAAAATAATATTCAGGGCGAAAACGTATG